TCGTGACTCGTGTGAGACCATTACACCAGAAGCCGAAGCATCCAAAGGTCTTTGCTTTATATTTAACTTCTTTTGTAAATTTAGAGGCTACAGTGCCTCCATCTGCCACAAACAGGATCTCCTAATCAGCAAAAACAGATGTTTATAGCCTTAAGATATAGCACAATTCACTACAAAAATAGAGCACAATGTTGTGTCTGAAATGTATGTACATTAGCAAGGTCATTTAATGATTCCTTAATGTGAACCTACTACTTTTTATTTTAATGTTATGAAATCTACACATTACATTACAGTGAAACAAAGACAAGTTGTCAAGTTTTATTAAAAGGTAAGTGAGCCAACATGTTAGCCTTTTGTCACTGTTCATGTTTCCCAGCACAGCTCCACACAACTCTACATTATCTACATTACAGCAGCTTCCCTCGCTCACTTAAGACCATTACATACAGAGACAGACATCAGATCCTCCACAAATCTACAGAAACTTGATAGCTTGTTTTGGTTGCTTTAGTTTAAACTGTAATGTCTCAGTTCACCGCTAGAGGGTATAAAAGTTATGTCTGGATCATAGACTGAATAAAACATGGACGTAGTGTCCGTGACATCACCTGTAGGATTCTGAAGAGCATTTTTGAAGCCCAGCTGTTGCCATCTTGGCAGCGCCAAGGGCAAAGAGGTGGGACGTTATGTCTTTCTCTGCCACTAGGTGGCGCTCGAGTATACGATATGCCTTTGTTTACTAATAGAAACGTCACTTCCATCTTAAGTTTAAGTATTTTACTGCATAAGCAGATAAATAGCAAATTCGGATCTAATTTCTTAAAGGTAGGGTTTTGAAGACTAAAATGGGCGTCGCCAGCCATTGCCATCTTGGCAGCACGTCACTCGGATAATCGAAACCTGTCACTGAAGTGGCCACTCCCTTAATTAAGCAGAACTTTAAGGCGTAATATAAATTAAACGGATGAGTTCATGTCATGAAGGGCAAAATTAGCTATATAGTATAGTAGGGATGCACAAATAAATTCTGGGCCGAA